TGTTAGTGACAAGTACTTCTTAGATTTAGGGCAGTTTTTGTGCTGAAGTCTCTACAATATATTTTTAAAAGATAGATTTGAAGACACTTTACAAGGAAAGGTATAAGAATGGCCAATAAGCACATGAAAAGATGCCCAGCATCACTAGTCATAAGGGAAACTTTAAATAGACCGATACTACTAAGTATTGGCAAGGATGTGGAACAACTGGAACTCTTACACTCTTCTAATGGGAATGCAAAATGGCACAGCAGCTTTGGAAAACATTTTGGCGGTTTCTTACGCAGTTAAACTATACATTTACCATTCAACCCAGCAACTTCACTCCTAGGCATTTACCCAAGAGAACTGAAAACATATTATATATATAAGGACTTGCATATGATTTATCATAGCAGCATTATTCATAATAGCCAAAAACTGGTAACAACCCAAATGTCTGTCAACTGATGAATAGATAAATAAAATGTGGTATATCCATACAATGGAATAGTACTCAGCAGTGAAAAGGAATGAACTACTGTTACATGCTACAACATGAATGAATCTCAAAAAAGCACATGCTAAGAGAAAGAAGCCAGACTCAAAAGGCTACACACTGTCTGATTCTATGTACATGACATCCTGAAATCAGATGGGTGGTTTTCTGGAATTGGAAGAGGATTGACTATAAATTGGCACAAGGGAACTTTTTAGAATGATGGAAATATCTTGAGTGTGGTGGTGGTTACACAACTGTCTACAGTTGCTAAAACCCATTGAACTATATATTTAGGATGGGTGGATTTGATCATATGCAAATTAAGCCTCAATAATTTCAAATATTACAAAAATTTCAAATACACGAGTGTAGATTTATGTGAATAAAAAAGGACTCTATGCTTATCTCTTGTGGTGGGATTTGGGTGCTTTTCATTTTCTTGTCTTTGCTTATCAAAATTTTGTAAAATTTCCACAATGATTATGTAGTGCTTTTGTAGAGAAAGAAAAAACCCAACAATAAAACGCCATACACTATGTTAATAGTTTGGTTATTCAACAAGGAATCTTGTTGATTCAACATCATTTGCTTGTCATGAAGCCCATTTGGGTTACCTCCTTCTCATCTGTCTTTCCTCAGTGGCACTTCTGAGGGGTGAGCTGAGGAAACGGATGCAAAAAGGTACAGAGCTTAATAGCAATGCTTTGTCCATCCAGCCCTGGTTTGGCTCTCACCTTGATTTTTGGATGAATACACAGTAGGCTAATGATAGGGGGGCTCTCGCCCTACTTTGCCAACTCCACCCTCCATTCCAACCCAAATCAACTCATGCGTCCTCTAGGCCCCAAGAGAAAGTCCTCAGCATAGGGCTGGGCAGACTGTGGTTTGTGGGGACCGGGCACCCGCCTCAAACTAACATTGGTCCATTGGGTGCTGCGTGGTCTTGAAGTCAAGAGGCCATTCATCAGTGGAGACCCACAATGAGAACAACGGCTCATGCTGCACATGGCAGGACAGGACACGGAGTCCTTCCAAGAGCCCCTCTTGTGTGGAGGTGCTCAGTGTCAACAGGCCTCTTTTCCCCATCACACATCCAATACATTTCCCAGGTTTCCGCCTGTGAAAGGGCAGTCACCTTAGGAGAACCGAGCAACCCGCAGGCAAAGGATGGCACGTCAGGAGGGGTTCACACTGCTTGCCCTTGAGTGCCTTGGCTGCACAAGGCCCTGACAGGGTCCAGGTGTCAGGACACAGGATCCAGTGAGGAGGATAATGCTATAATTATAAAAATAGCTTCATAAAAATAACATTCCACGGGGGGAACATACAGTTTTCCAGCCACTCTGGTCAAGAAGTGAAGCCCAGCAGAAGCTCAGAGCTCAGAGCAGTTGAGGTGGGCATGGGGGAGTGAGACAAAGGACAGCTGTCCTTGGAGCCTCTGCTTTGTCACATAAATGCTAAGTAAGGAGAGATCCCGGGTTCCCAACCTGGGGTCTCTGTCCCCAGAGTTCACACAGGCACTATTTTCAGGAACTACTTCCAGCATCTTAAAACTTCACACCTTATTCACAGTAACCAAAAGATGAAAACAACCCAAGTATTCATTGATGGATGACCAGGTACAGTGTGAAATATACATGCAACGGAATATTACTCAGCCTTAAAAGGAAGGAAATTCTGACACGTGGTACTATATGGATGAACCTTGAAAACATCATGCTAAGTGAAAGAAACCAGTCACAAAAGGGTAAATATTGTTTGAGTCCACTTGTGTGAGGTACCTAGAGTAACCAGATTCAGAGACGGAAAGTAGAATCGTGGTTGCCTGGGTCTGGGAGGAGGAGGCATGGGGAGTTACTATTTAATGGGTTCAGAGTTGCCGTTTGGGATGATGAAAAAGTTCTGGCTAAAGGTCAGGTAGTCCTGATAAAAAGAAAAGAAGTTCTGGAAGTGGATAGTGGTAATGGTTACACCACAATGTTAATGTGTTCAGTGACATTGAACTGTACCTTTAAAAATGGTTAAAATGGTAAATTTTATGTAGTATATATTTTACCACATACTCAAAGAAACAAACTCCCCACGTACCCCAAGGCCTCATTGCTTCATTAAAGCATCAAGTTGTGCCTGTTATTCAGATCAAGTTTCTGAACAGGCAGGTATAGCCACTGATTGATTTTTCATTTTTTAATTTTTTTGGTGGCTGGCCGGTACAGGGATTGAACCCTGGACCTTGGTGTTATCAGCACCATGCTCTAACCAACTGAGCTAACCAGCCAGCCCGGACTGACTTTTTAAAGAAGTAAAAATAACAGCAAAATATATGAATTGTGACCTATGCAGTTTTGGGGGTTGGTCAGAACCTTCCAAAGCATGGCATCTTTGAGGGAGAAATAAAACTAGGGGGCCTTCGTGGAAAGGCTGGCTTGGGTGAGTACATTGCTCTGCCCCCACCCCTCGCTGTAAAGGCAGTGATTTTGTGCTTGGAGAAGCCATGCTAAAGCAGAAACACATCCCACTGGAGTAGACCAGATGGTGTCTCCAGACGGATTCCACCCAGTCACAGGGACAGGCATTTTGGGTTTGAAATGGCCCTTTTTCTGGCCTATTTTTAGTGCCTGGAGTCAGAATTCTTCACAGTAAATAGAACTCTCTGGCCCATGTGACACATGACACTAATACAGCACTAGAAATGAGGATCGTGCATGGCACCAGCTAATTCCACTGAGGAACAGGATGGCACACTCTCTTTTGAGACCCTCATCCGTCACCACCAAACTCCTAGACCAGGACAGAGTCATGATGGGTCTTGGCAGCCTGCTCAGCACATAGGTATAGAGATTCACAGAACAGCTCAGGCTTGAAATTACAAGAGTAAACACAGTAAACTCTCAATTCCCAGACCAAGAGCCTGGGCGCCAGGATTCTGGTTCCATGAATATTCTCATTTGCAGTTGGGCAGAAAACCTTTGGGGGAATTTCCAGCTCTCCTCCCTTCCATGCCCACCTTCCTTCAAAAGCAGGATACAGTGTTCGAGGAGCAATCAGAAGACAAATCCTGGCCCTCTGCACTCTGTGACTTTGGCCCCTTTGAGCCTGTTTGTGAAATGGCAATAACAACATCTTCAATCTCATTTGTATGGATTGAATTATTATCTGGGGACTTCCTTGGAGAACATATTATAAAACTGCTTGGGAATTATCTTCTGCCCCTACACTTGGTACTTAGAGTGAACAGGGTTCAGTCATTGTGTGTGGAAGGAAGCAATTGAACCTCAGAGCCCTGACCCCTGGGAATGTTTATTTTTTATACACTAATTTCTTAGTGACACTGTTTTCTATAGAGGTGAGGGGGGAAATGTCCAGTTAACTGCAGATTATTGGCGCTGTGCAAGGATCACCTGAGGCAGTCCCATTTCCTCCCATCTCCTGGAGAGGAGTCTCATCTCATTTTTTTCAAGATGAGGCAGGTGTGCTGGGTGACAGTGGCATAAACAAGGGGCCTGGTTCCCACGCCCTTTTCGGGTACGAGTTATCCCTGCTGGAAGGGGTTTAGTGTTTGTCCTTCAGGAGTCCCCAAAGGGCACCCCAGCTGCAGCTTGGGTTGGCCAGCTTCTCCCTCCCAGGAAGCAGGGAGAAGAGCCCTCGGGGAGGCTTTGTGCTTGCAGCTCCAGTGAACAGATGTTTCAAATGCAGAAAGTGGGCTCTGTGCTTTCCCTTCCTCCTTGTTCATGAGTAAGTAAACAGGCACCTCCATGTGACCTTGCAGTCTAAGTTCTTGCCTGGGTCTGGGTGACAGAGGTGGAGAGAGTCCCCTTCTCTAGGCTCAGACCCAGAGGGCAAGACCCAGAGTGCCCTGCAACTGAAGCAGGCTCCCCAAGGATCACTCTGCAGCTGCTCAGTTGTGACGTCCTGGAAGAGAATGACCCTGGACACCTCTTGTAAAGAACAAGACAAACCAACACATTAAGAGCTGGCAGGAGGGGCACACTATGTTCTCCTAGGAAAGGATCAAGGGGAATGGCTTCAGTAACGAACATGAAGGACACAAAGCATCAAAGGACAGGCTGTCTTTGCCTTTTGCCTCTTCCCAGCTGTCTAATTAGGACTGGCACATTTCACTGTGCTCCACCGTAATGGGTCATTTTGCAGAAAGCAGGCATTGGAGTCAGATGGGGCTTGCATGGGATTTCCAGCTGAGAGACATTGGGCTAGTCACGTAGCCTATCCGGCCCTCAGTTTTTGCATCTGTAGAAGGGGCATAAGGAAAACCTATTTGCAAAGCATGCTGAGAATTCAATGAGATGGTGTTTGTCAAGTCTACTACACAGAAGGGTTTCAGGGAAAGTTAGCTCCCCCCACCCCGCATCCCCTCATTTGCCGGTGAGGATGAAGGCAGTAGAGAAGACGGCATTAGCGGCTGCCCACTGAGAGGGAGGCACCGTGGCACCCCCTCCTAACTCCACACTAGGCTGCCACCATGTGCAGACGTCATGTGTCCAAGCGGACCCTCACCACCTCAGACATCCCAGGCTGGTATGGTGAGGGGCAGATGGGAGCAGCCGGGACCCTCCCCCGGCGCGTCATGGTGGGCCACCCGCCCACTCCGCCGCGGGAAGCCACCAGGCCTGGGCGCGCCACTGCTGGGGCCCGACTCGGAGGGCAGGCCCGAGTCGCTGGGCCGCACCTCCACGAAGACCCGCCGGCGCACGAGCCCGCCGGGCCGCTGCGAGTAGGCCTCCCGGTGGCTGCCGCAGGGCAGCGGGCAGAGCTGGGCGCGGAAGGCGGCCTGGAAGCCGCGGCGGAAGTTCTCGTTGAAGTAGGCGTAGATGATGGGGTTGGCGCTGCTGTGGAAGAAGGCAAGCCAGTGGGCGACGGGGAAGGCGTAGGCGGTGACCTGGCGCAGCTGCGGCGCGCTGAGCTGCCCGTAGTCGAGGAGCAGCAGCAGCGCCCAGAGCGGCAGCCAGGACAGCGCGAAGAAGAGCGCCACCACGACCAGCATGTGCACCACCCGCGCCCTGCGCCGCGCCGCGCGCCCGCCCTCCGCCGCCTCCTCGCCGCCGCGGGCCGGGCCCGGAGCCCGGCAGAGCTTGCGGGCGATGCGCGCGTACAGGCCCACGATGAGCGCGAGCGGCGCCAGGTAGATGTGCGAGAAGAGCACGGTGGTGTAGGCCTTGCGCATGCCCTGCTCGGGCCAGGCCTCCCAGCACGAGTAGAGCGGGTAGGAGCGGTTGCGGGCGTCCAGCATGAAGTGGTGCTCCTCGCGCGTGACGGTCAGCGTGACGGCCGAGGGGCACATGATGAGCAGCGCCAGCGCCCACATCCCCGCGATGGTGACCAGCGCCTTCCGCAGGGTCGGCTTCTCGCGGAAAGGGTGCACGATGCAGCGGAACCTGCGGAACCCGGGCGGGCGGGAGGAGAGGCAGGGTCTGCGCGGGGCCCGGGGACGGCGGGAGGACCGCGACCCCGGAGCGGGGCGGGGGACGTGGGCTGGACTTTCATCACCGCACCGAAGGCGGTGTCACAGAACAGCCCATTCATCGGCTAAGTCTGCCAGCAAATGCGTTTCTCACCCAGGAGGGAGTCAGCTCAGCCGGCTGACTAGTCAAAGGATCAAAGGCAAGTACAGGATTTACGGGAGAAGGCAGGAGACTGCGGACCGTGTGGGAACAGTGAAGCCCGCGGTGCACTCGCAGCCAGCAGAGCGACCGGTCTGCGCACTCTGGGCTGGAGCATTGGGTACCAAAGAATACAACTTTTAGCATTCTGTATCAAAGAGTAGTTTTTAGCTGTAGGCCAATTAGGTGTAGCAAAGAATACAGTTTTTAACTTTATGGATTCTCCAGAGAGCCTTGGGAGGTCATGTGTGGGGACTACATTACAGGATATCCCTATGTCATCTTGGCCAGTGTCCTTCCCTCAGCACCTCCATGTTAGGGCAAGTCTGCACCATTTATTGCCTCCTTAGAATGTCTCAGCCTTATTATTACACCCTTAATTTACAGATGAGGAAAGTGGGCCTCAGAGGTGTTAAGCAACTGGCTCAAGGTTAAGCAACACAGCTAGCAGGTCTCAAGGACCAGCCTTAAACCCAGACTTGACTTGCTCCTCTATGCCACATAAACCAGTAGCTGTAAACTCTCGCTGCACGTTAGAATCTCCTGAAGCATTTTAAAAACTGTATCTCTGCCTGTTTCTCCCAGCCAAAGATTCCAATCTAATTAGTCTGTGAAGGGGCCTTAGCATCATGTTTTTTAAAAGCTCCTGGGTTGTTTCTGGTGTGCAGCCAGAGTTGAGAACTGCTCGGTGGGCAGAGGAGGTGAAAACCTCCCGGATGCATGTGAATCAAAGGCTACCGCTCAACTGCAAGCTCTTTGAGGGCAGGTGCAATGCCTTTTCATCTCAATATTCCTAGAGTGTGTGCAGATAAAAGCATGAATGAACGACCAGAAGGGCAAATTACTCAAAAATCTTGCTGAGTTTCCTCATCTGGAAAACGGGGCCAATATTATGGCCTACTCTGTGGGGTTGTTGTGAAGATAAAGTGAGGTTACACTTACCACACTTGAGACATTTCCAATAGGGAGAAACAGGAAGGGCTTCTACTTCCCAGAATGTCTTTCCTCATCTACTGATGCCAGAAAATAGAAACCTAAGGACCGTCTAGTCAAGCTTGCTTGTTTAATGGAGGGGAACCTGGCCCAGTGAGGGGAAAGGACTTTCTTATAAGATCACATGATTATTTAAGGGCAGAACCTGCACTAGAACACAGATCAAGAGCTGACTCCCAGCTGAGCACCCCTTCTCATTCACTACACTGTGTCCTGCCCTCCTGCCCGCCCACACTTCCCCTGGCCTGACAGCACCCTTTACCTCTCCCGTGGCCTGACTCAAGCCTTGCTGTCTCTACCTCTATGATATTGACCTACTGGCTTCATAGCAGCACACACTCAAGAAGTCTCCAGAGAATAAATAATTCTTAAAGTGCACAGTACCGACTATAAGTGCAGTAGGAGTTAATGGGTGGAGGAGAATCCTGGGGCAGTCCAGGAAGGCTTTCTGGAGGAGGTGGGACTTGAAGAATACTGCAAACACCACTGGGAGAGGGTGCATGTTCTCATATCATTCCACCATGATAACAAAACAAAGGTCAGTGTAGGGAAGGGACTTCTAATCACCCAGCTAGTTAGTGGCTTTTTTGAGAGAGGAACCTGGTTCCATCACCCTAGATGGCTACTTCACTGTGTTATAAAATACTGAGTTTGGTGTGGGTAGAGGTGGAAAGAGGATAAGAACATTAGATTCTAGAAAGAGCAGGGCTAAGAAGTGCCATGTCGAAGAGGGAACAGGGAGAGCGTTTGAGTGTAAGGAAGAAGTAAAATAATATTAACAGATGACATCTAGACTCTGTGCCAGATACTGTGCAAAAGCTTTACAAGCAGAAGCTCACTGAAGCCTCCCAACCACCCTATAGAGTGTTTACCATTTGACAGATAAGAACAGAGGCTCAGAGTAGTTAAGTGACTTACCCAACATCATACAGCTAGGCTGTGACAAGGACAAAAGCCACCTCCAGCTTACCTGCCTGCCTCCCATGCCCTGGGGAAAGCACCCAGATGGAGCCCTTACCTTACACCACTAAAGATGCTGGGGGGAGCAGGACTTACTTCAGTGCCATGAGGAAGACTTATTGGTTCAGTGCTTCATTGTTTGCAAAGCCTCCTTGACCCCTGGCTCCATTCCATACCTCTGGCCACATTAGCAGACCCACGTTTATCAGAGAATCTGATGGAATCTGAGGCTGAAAGACCGGAAGTGGCCAGAGATGGGGTGGAGATGGTGAGCAAGTAAGACCTGGACTGCCAGGGACCAGCAGGTGATGGGGTGGAGTGAAGGGGCAAGAAGAAACCCTTCCAGCCATACCGAGGCCTACCTTGTGGGTTGGCTCCCCTGCTGGGACTCATACATAGGTGGCAGGACTCCTGCCACTCAGGAAACAAGGACTGCTCTCAAGCCCCTGACAGGCCCCAGGAATCCCTATTAACCTCCTCAGGAGCTGCCTCCAGACCTTCCAGAAGGAAACGGTGGTGTCCTCAATATGCCCCTCAAGTCTAGAGAGCAGCTGGCCCACAACCCTTCACTTTATGGCTCAGGATTCAGCACCACCTACCCCAGAGCAGCCCCAGCCCTTCCTCCAGCCCAGCATTGGAGACAGTGGCTCCTCTCAGTGCCTGGCCCCAGATGGCCCAGGGATAATCCAGCTGGGAAAACTCACCTTTCCACAGCGATGGCCACCAGTGTGAAAATGGAAGCTGACACAGACATGCCTTGCACCAGGCCGCTCATCTTGCATGTGGCATTGTCGAAGGGCCACCCTGCAATGACAGAGGCCCCCACAGAGTGAGAGATGCCCACCCGCCAAGGGCCAAAGACCTCACCCTGTCTAAGCCAGGTCCACTCTGAAGCTCGAGTCTTCCTTCCATGTCCTGCTAAGGGTCACCTGGCCTCAGCTTACACACTTCCAAGAATGAGGAGCTGACCAGCCCATACCAATGTGGACAGTTCTATTGGAGATGTTCTTTGTATTGACCAATGATTTCTCTCCATGAGCTTTAGATCCATCCAGCCCTGCCTGGCTTTCTGCTCCTGTACCCCTGCCTCAGGTTCTCGGCCAGTGGATTTCAATCCTGGCTGCTTATTAGAATCAGGTGGAGAGCTTTGAAAAGAACCAAAGTCCAGGCTCATGACAGACCACTTATGATCAGAATCTCTGGGGTTCTACCCAGTGTATTTGAGTGGTAGCCAAAGTTGAGAACCACTAGGACAAATTAATCCTTACTACCAGGAAGGGAGATGTAAAAGTAGCTCCAGCCCCTCCTACCTAGTATTCTCACTCTGATTCCAGGGCTTCTGCTTTGTCAGAAGACCTGGGCCTCACCTGCCCTCAGGACTAGTGTCAGGTCCACATCTAGGTCCCTGAGGCTGTGTGTTGGTAACTGCCTGGTGTCTCTGCCCCTCTAGGCCAGGGGCCCTACCTGATTCTTGTCTGTCGTGCCTGGGCCAGGAGTCCCCTCCCAAGGCTGGGGCCTTCCTGCCACCAACAGCCTCCTGCATGCTGACTTTCTGCCTACACACTTACTAAGTACCTGGCACTGTCTCATTCAGTCCTCACAACAACCGCTGTCATTGTTCCCTTTTTTATAGATAAGAAAACTGAGGGAGAGATTAACTTACAGTCTCTTTGCCCCTCAATCACTACAGATTTGTGGTGAGAGTGAGGTCCAGATGCTGGGGAGTTTAAGTGTCATGGAAAGTCAACAGTGCTATAGAGAGCAAACTGGTTATATTTTGGAAAACTGTGTGCATGCAAACCCAGCAATTCCTCTCCTGGGTTCATATCCTTAAGACATTCCCCCACAGTCCATAAGGATGTTCACTGTAATATTATTTGTAATGATGGAGAGTTAGAGGCAGTGGTGTACTGGTAAATCACCTCTTCGAAAAAAAAAATCCCAAACAAAACCAAAAAACCCTAGTTTGTAACATTTGCCAATTTTTGTGGTGTAAAACCCCCTACATGGCAAAGTTCAAACTACCAACATGACGTCACTGGACACAGAGAGTTGGGAAGAAATGTGCATGATTGGCTCTCATGAGCTGATATCAGCTGGCTCTAGCTCACCACTCGGTAGAGGCCACCCCAGCGTCTACCCCAGACCAGAGGGTAAAATGTGGTAGATGCACACTGTGGAGTACCAGGCAGTGATGAGAAGCGACAGATCAAATGTACACACAGCAACATGGGTAGAAGGCTTAGCAAAAAAATAAGAAATAGAATGAGATCTATAACACAGAAACATTCATTTAAATTAACAATTTATCCAGGCATTGAAAAAACACCAGGGGGAAGTGTGAAACTGTGATCATAACTTACTCCATCTTGAAAGCCCTCCCCACGTGCTGTGTCCTTTGTGTGAGCCCTGCCCACAGAATTTACATGATAACTAGATAAGGAAGTTAGAACAATAGGCAAACATGGCTTGCTGAGTATAAAGAAGGGACCTAATGATTAAGTACTGGCATGGTAACAGTTGTTCTGGACACCTGCATCACAAGACCACCAAAGATAATAATCGTTGTCATAAGTAGTGAAGTTAGCTTGTATCTTAGTTAACAATTGCTTCTTGGCTTTCTCCACTGCTTTGTGTAAATTGACTGTATAAACTTGGGCTCAACCAGGGTGGTGTCATGGAGAAACTTTGCATATGCTCCTGGGTCACTGCCCTCCCGATCCATTACCCTGTAAGTAAATTACCCTCTTAATTAAAATTTTCCTTACTGCATGGACGTACCTGCTTCGTTTTTTGGTCTCAAGATACCCTCTCAGTTTGGTGGGCATTTTGTCTTTGCTCTACCTTTAGACAGGAACCAGCTCTACTAGACATTAAAATATACTATCACACCTCTGTCATTAAAACAGTGTGCTGCTGATATGTGAATAGATACACAGACCAGAAGAATAGCATAGAAAGCCCAGCACTACACCCAGCTACAGTTGAAATTTAATACATGATGAAGGTTCTGAAACCACTGTGGGAAAGAATGACTTTTTAATAAATAGTGCCACATCAACTGGGTAACCATTTGAAAAAATTAGATATATATCACACCATACACAAGAATAAACTCCAAATGGATTAGAGGTCTAAATGTAAAAAATGAAACCGTACAAGTACTAGGGGGAAAAAAATGAGTCCTTCTTTAAACTATGTATAGGGAAACAAAATCCAGAGGCAATAAAATAAAAGATTGGTAAATCTGACTATATAAACATTTTTTAATTGCATAGCAAAAACTTCTATAAACAAAGTCACAGACACATGACAAACAGAGAGAAATTATTTGCAACATATACCACAAAGTGATTTTACCCAAATATATAAAGAACTCATAAAAATTGAGGAACAAAGGACTAAAAACCTGATAGAAAAGTGTGAAAAGATACAATTTACAAGAGATTTGAAAACTGCCCCTAAACATATGAAAAAATGTTCAACCCTCATTCATAATTTAAAAAATGCAAATGACCACAGCAAGGCTGCAGAGAAATGGGTACTCTCAAACACTGCTGGTGGAAATGCAACCTGCCGCAGCCCTTCTGGAGGGAAATTAGGCAATACCTAACAACCCACATAGGGACTTACCTGTCGATCCAGCAATCTGACTTCGGTAATCTACCCTAAATATATACCTCCAGCAACACAAAATACATATGCCCAAGGTTATGCATTGTAGCATTGTTTGTAATTGCAAAATATCAGAAACCACATGAATGTTCATAGAAAGAAGTGGTTGAATAAACTGTGGTATTATACAGCTATAAAAAAGACTGAAGAAGACCTCTATGAGCCAATATGTAATGATTTCCAGCATATATTAACTGGAAAACACAAAGTAGGAAGAGTATAGTCTATGACCCTTCATGTAAAAAAGAAAATATGCACTTATCTTCTCATTTGTTCAAAGGAAATACAGGAGGCATAAATCAGAAAATAATGAGATTGTCTGCCTATATAGGGAGGGGATAAGAATAGGATGAAAATAATGACGGAATGTGGTAGTTGAGATGACAAGGGAGTGACACTTCTCTGAGTATATCTTTTTGTGTGGCTCTGACTTCTTAGAACCAGGGCAATATTTCATATCCTCAAAAAATAAATAATTAAAATCTATCAGGATGTGGGAGAACCCGACGTGGAATACAAACAATAACAAGTAAACCTAATTGTATTATAATGCATAATATAACCACATTGGAGGGGTTGGGGAACCTAAATAACTTTGGAAAACAGTATTTTGACTGTACACTCTAAGACTAAAGACAGAAAGAACTATACATAAATTCTGCACTCTCATTTGTGATGTTTTTGACAAAAATACATAAACTGGATCTAGTTGTGGGAAAACATCAGGCAAACTCAAATCACAGAAGTTAATGCTTAGCAATCCTTATGTGTATACAAAGATTCAACAAATAAGTAAATATATTTGTGGATAAATAGAGCTAGATTTCTCACTGTCTGAGAAAGAAGTTACAAATAAGAGAAAGGGGAAAGTTAAAATGAATCTTGTGAAATTGGATTGGTATCAGAGGTTATTAGTATGAACTTATTGTTTTTAATATCCATACAGATGGATAGATATAGAAATAAAGATATGTGTATTAAAATCTCTTGTTAGTATACATATATTCCCTAGCTCTGTCCCCTGAGAGGGCCTAGAAACAATGACACCCCAGTAGCAATGAGCACAACTAGAACCCAGATCCTGGTTTCTAAATATTATTCCTCATTTTTTAAAAAAAACAGGGCTCTTTAGAGAAATCATTAATTCCAGGGCTGGAGCAGGGAAAATACAAGATGAGCCTGGAACATTTTGTGGTGCCAGAAACTAAGGAAATATTCAAAAAATCATGATAGCATGTTGGAAGGACATAGGAGCCAACTGGAAAGAACTCCCAGTAGTCAAATCTGGGGCAATTTAAGCAAAAAATAATAATAACAATAATAGTATTGTTGGATTATAACCCATGGAGTAATTGTAGAAGGAATGATGCTAATAGAAAATCATCATTGAGGAAACAGGACAGCAATTATTATTGTAAGCAGGAATCATCGATGGAGTGTGAAATTAGTGGGCAAAGGTATAATGAGGAACATCTCCTCATAAGATACTTATTAATTACAAAGGGAGAAAAGGTAGCTTTACAGTGGAAAGCCCTGAGAGACAACACCCTAACCAAGTGATCAAAATTATCACCAATATTATTAATACATACAGATATCATGTGTCTCCTCAACATGTCTTCTGTGGTATTCTTGCCAAAAATGTATAAACTGGATCTAATCATGGTAAAACATCGGGAAAACCCAAATTACATGATATTCTGCAAAATAAATGATCAGTACTCTTTAAATGTGTCAAGGTCATGGAAGACAAAGACTAAGCACCTGTCCCAGATTGGGGGAAACTAAGAAAACAACTAAATACAGTGTGTGATCCTGGGTTGGATCCCGAACTAGAAAAAGACATTTGTGGGAAAACTAGTTAAATTCAAATAAAATATGCTTTTTAGTAGTTAGTAGTATCATATCAGTGCTAATTTCCTGGTTTGGGTCATTGTATTATGATTATTTAACATATTAACACTAGGGAAAGGTGGGTGAAGAGTTCATCGGAACTCTCTGTACTAGTTTTGCAAATTTTCTTTAAATCAAAAATCATTTCAAAGTAAAAAAGGAAAACAAAACAAAAGCCCACCAGAATCAAAAGGCTACATACTATGTGATTCCACTCATATAACATTCTTACAAAGGCAAAACTAGGTTTTCTGTCCCTGCAGAAAACAGCTTGATGGTGCCAGGGGTGGAGGGAGGGGCCCGCTACAAAGAAACAAGGCGGAGCTTTTTAGGGTGCCGAAGTTGTTCTACATCTTGATTGTGGTGGTAGCTACATGACTGTAGATGTTCATCAAAATTTATGGAACTGTACACTAAAAGAAGGTGAATTTTATGGTTTGTTAAATTATAATACCTTAACAAAAATATTTAAATGTAAAACATTCACACAGTAACAGCACATTTTCTAAGAATGCATACAAACAAAAAGGCACAAATTTAAGGGTCAGAGAGTGGAGAAGGGTACAAATAAATAAAAAAATAAACCAAGGGCTTCACAACACAGTGAAGTCACATAGTGCCATGAACTGCGGACATGAATAATTCAACTCCCTGCACCTGAGTTAAAAAAATAAATTAATAAAAGAAAAAGAGAAGCGGTATGAAGTTTTATTTAATTGCAGAAGATTCTATTAGAAACGACCTAAATACCGGTTAAAAATAAATTGTGGTACCTCCATACAATGGAATTCTAAACAGTTGCAAAAAGAATGAGAAACTCTTTTATTTATTAGTATGGAATAACTCCGTTTAAATTGATTTTAATAAATCTTACAACATACATGATATGTTTTTAAGCGGTGAAAAACAGTAAAGGTGCAGAACTGACTGGAAAGTTAACATTTCCTTAATTTGCTTGTACTCACATAAGATATTTTTGGAAAGAGACATAAGAAACTGGCAACACTGGTTGACTCAGAGGAGAGGAGCTGGGAGGCTGGAGGACAGGGGTGGAAGGGAGATTTTTCTCTGGATACTTTTGGTAGCTTTTGACTGCTGAACCATGTGAACATTTTACCTGTCTGAATAATTTTAAAATTTAAGTGTGTGAAAAGGACTGGCAGACACCACTCTACCCAACTAGTGACCTCACCATATCACTGTTGACTGGTGTGTGTGTGTTTATGTGCATGCACGTGTGTGCATCTCTGCATGTGTGGGTGTGTGGGTGTGTGTTGGGAAGGAGAAGGCTGTGCAGTTTATGTTCAGCATTGCTGAAGGCATCTGGGACTCAGCAGGGAGTAAAGGTTCCACCAGGCAGAGCCACTACTACCAAGGGGAGCTGACTCCGCCCTGGCTCCACTTCCTGGGTCCTAGCACCTATAGAAACTCGGGCTGCAGCTCCCTCTGCCCAGAGTCAGGTAAGTTACTCCAAATGGGGTTGTTCAGTCTCCAGATTCCGCTGTTGGGAGCTCTGAGCTCAGACTCTGCAGGCTCAGACCTCTAGGGGTCTCCACAGCTCTGGAAACGAGTCCCTCCCCACCGGGAGTCTCAGGTGAGGGAGGGAGTCTCAGGTGAGGGGAACCTGGATTCAAAAACAAGAAAGGCCCGATCAGATGAGAGAGAGAGATGACAGTGGTGTCATTCTGACAACTGTAGGATGCACAGGCAGGAAGTTAGAGGCCAGGCAGTCTAGCTGTGCTCGAATACCTTCTACCAAATCCCGTCAAGTGCCTGGCCAGTCCCTATTTTAGATAGTACCAGTGACAGGGACCTCATTCCCTACAGGGCAGGATTCTCTCCTGTGGGAGAACAGCTCAGATGAGTGGATTTTTAGGTCCTAGTTCAGAGGAGACCTGCCTCCCTACCACTTATTCCCACTGGCTCTAGAACCATCTATGGGAATAACATGGAAGAGTGAGACTGAATGGTACAGTGATTAGAAATATGGGGTGAGAATGTGGACCTTGACACTTATCAGCTATGTAAATTCCAACCAGTCCCTTAACCACTCTGAGCATGTTTCCTCAACCATAAAATGGGGATAATAGCAAATCACCCTCCATTGGATTGTTGTGAGGATTAATTAAGATACTGCATGAAGAGTATGTGAAACACTTATCAGCTATGTAAATTCCAACCAGTCCCTTAACCACTCTGAGCATGTTTCCTCAACCATAAAATGGGGATAATAACAAATCACCCTCCATTGGATTGTTGTGAGGATTAATTAAGATACTGCATGAAGAGTATGTGACATAAGCCTGGCACAAAGAAAATGACCAATTCATTGTACCTATTATTTCTAGTGGACTGTATTGAGAGTTTGAGACAATGGAATCTTGGCCAGCGGCCAGCCCAGCCACGGTTTCCGATTTCCAAGATTCCATTTCAGGCCTTAGCCGAGGAGTGTGGGACACTCCCCATGGCCCACACTCACCGGTGATGAGATTGTCCACGACGGTGGTGGGCATGCAGAAGATGCCCACCAGCAGGTCACTGACAGCCAGGTTGAGAATGAACATGTTGGTGACGGTGCGCATGTGCCGGTTCTTGAGCACGATGAAGCAGACCAGGGTGTTGCCCACCATGCAGAGGAGGAAGATGAGCACGTAGGCCACAATGATCAGGGCGGCCACCGGGGAGGAGTGCTGGTAGTAGGAAGAGAAGGTGAGGTTCACAGCCAGGGCGGCCTCAGAGCTACTCCCATTCTGACTTGGGGGCCAGCTGTCATTGGGAGGCTGGGAGGGCTCCCCTAGGACAAAGGAAGCATAAGGATCAGGACCCTACCCAAGGAAGAAATGACTAACTTCCCACCCCTGGTGAGACCCTTCTGTGTGCCAAACCCTGACCAAACCCTAGGACCTGATCATGTGCCCAACTCCAATTGCAACTGGATGCACTGACCTAAGACTTTCAGCCCACAACCACTCAAACCCCAATCTCACACACCCCATCCTGCCCATGACTCATTCCCCAATGTTGGTTACTTTCCATTAATACCTCCCCAACTCCCCCTAGCCCCCCACTGCCAGGCTCCATCCTTTGTGGCCCTGCTTGGTGCCCCTGAGGCTAACCTCTAAGGACTGCATCACCCAGGTTCCCCTCCCTCTGGCTTCTGGCTGAATGGGAGACACTAAAGGAGATGGAAGGGCAGGGGAAGAGCGAGGTCACATGTTTATCCCCTGACTCCCTCTCTCCCTGGCCCACTTCTGCCATCAGCTGTTTTCTTCTATGGCCACAGCTTGATCCTACTGGCTGACTCCTCTTCCATGGCTCTAGCCCTTGACAGGCTACAGTGGCACTGTTCCCTCTCCTTGCACATCGGGCCTGCAGGAGGAAACAGCTTCCTGGGGTTGCTAGTCCCTGGGTATGTCACCATTCCTTGCTGGTTTGCTTACCCCTTCCCTCCCCTCCCCTCTGTAAAGTCTTCCATTAAACTCACTTCAGTTAAACCTTTTCTGAGTGCAACACTGTTTTCTTCTGGGACCTGACTGTTACACCCTCAAAATCTTTGATGTCCCTCCTCCTCACCTCCACAGAACTGTAGTTGGAAAAGGCAAGAAGACAGGAGAGAAAAAAAAAAAAAGAGGAGGATCTGAACCAGGGCTAAGGAGCAGAGGCCTATGAAACTCACCAGAAGAAAATGCGAAGCCAAGACCTGCACCCATCCTTCACCCCCTCTTGTGACCAGCTGCTTCATCTGCATAGCATTGAACAAAGCACTTCCATATCTATTTATTTTATCTCATTTCATTTTATTTATTCTTTTTTAGGCATATGAAAATATATTACTACTGTGTTTTCACCATCATAATTTATGATCTTGGTCTTTCCTTCTTGCCTTTGTTTAGGGCCAAAAGAGAGACACTGGTTACTCTGACAACCTTAAAGGAGACTCCGGGAATGTCACGAACAGCACGATCTTTTCAACTAAATCCAGCAACCAGAACTTCATTGTTTACCTCAATAAAGTTCAAGCAACCATCATCGGGTACAAAGGCTGTGATTTTCTTGCTGTGCATGATCATCTGGACCCTGACACACTTCCTGATGATAGAATTTGGCTGTTGGGCTTCAACCCCTACGTTTTCCAGCACAATTCCCTCTCCGTGGGAAGCACCTCCAAAAGGGTTGGCCTTCAGGGCTGTGCCCAAATGGGCTATAATGTACTGTTCATCATGCCACTTTTGGTCTCACTGGTGACTACAGAGCTTCCTGGTAGTACAAAGATGGAGACACTTGTCCCACCTGCCAGAGTCATGAGCCTGAACTACAGCACTTTATTATTTTATTTAACCCTCCAAGCTACCCCATGATGTGAGCAGATTTAGCATTAGCCCCATTTGAAATGGGGATCAGAGAGGGCCTGTGACTTGCTCAAGGTGCCACAGCAAGTAGACAGCAGGGTTGGCCCTGCTCTGTGTCTCTGAATCAGGACCCAGTGTTAGAGTGTGTTTCCCGAGCCATGTTTAGAAGGGAGTGGCACAGCTCTCCTGGGAAGTCATTAGTTGTGGTGACCCACAATGTTGTCTCATAAACTCTCCTCCTGCCTTTCTCTGGGACTGAATGTGATCTGTTCCAGAAGATGAAGAGACTCTAGGGACTATTTTTCTGTCTCACCAGACCTCAGCCACCAGCCTGGAGGCCCACTGGAAGTGTGGGACTTGGAGGCTAGAGACACCCTTCAAGGAACAGGGCCAATGAGCTGGCACCATCAGGGTTTGCATTTAAAACACAATCCACGCTCTTTACCATGGCCTCCAAAACGCTTCATGGTCTGACCCCTGTTGACATCTCTGTGGCCTCACCCAGTGCTACTCTCCCCTTGGCCATCCTCTTAGCTTCTCATGCAGTCTTGTTTTTCCAACCCCAGGGCCTTTGCATTTCCCCTCCATTAGCTCCAGCTTAAATGTTGTCTTCCCAGAGGAGCCCAACCTGATTACTATATTTAAAGTAGGTGCCGTCCTATTATCTTTCACAGCATCCTGTTTATGTTCTTTAATGTCAATATTTTGTTTTCAGGTTTATTGTCTTTTCCCCCACACTTGAAAATAAACTCCTGAAGAGCAGAGATTTTCCCTGTCTTGTTGGTGGCAGTGTCTCCAGCATCTTGTCAGTGCCCAAAGTAAATGGTTCAATAAACAATCAGTGATTATGGAATGAATAAACATTTGTAGGAAGGAAAAAGGAAGGCAAGCTGGATACTGACACCAGGTGACAGGGTCCTGCTTAAAGCAGGCAGTGCTGGGGCTGGAAGGCCTTCTCCAGGCCCCTCCACTAAGAACCCCCATGAGAGTTTTCACCTGTCACAGTGCCTATTGGGAGACTCCACAGGCAGCTAATCCCTGATAAGCCTGAAAGTCAACTCTGAACCAGTCCCCATAACTGGGGGAAATCTGTGGGTGTGAGTGGGCAGAAGAAACTGCCAGAGCCTTTCAGGCTAGACTCCAGTCTGTCTGTGTCCCCCACTGCCCTTCACTTGGCCCACATGTGAGCTCATATCCCAAAGTCTGTCCCTGGGGAGTGCCTGGGAGCCACCCTGCATATCTCCAGAGACTCAGCCAAGCCTGGGCACCTGTCTCCAGACTCAGCCCAGCTTCCAGCACAGCACAGTCATCTCTTCTTGAGAGGAAAAAACCCTTCCTATTCTTGGCAATTCACTGGGCTGGGGGGCAGGGACGGGTGGAGGGGGGCAGGGTGGGGTGGCGGGGGACAGGTCTCTCACCCCGCCTGGGCTCCATGCCAGCAGCCAGAGATCTCATTAACACCCTTGACTTGTCCTTTCTGGGATTCTGACAGGTGCCCTTGTGGTTACATCCTATAAAACTGTCATCCTCTGAACCCAATTAAGCCATTCCCCTACTCGGAGAGCTTCCCAGAGGTCTCAGAATATAATAATAGCTGTCTCTAGGACACTGTGATGATCTCAGAGATTGGCTCTGAGCCACTGAAAGCCCTGGGCTGGAGATAAGACAGGGGCACACTGGTTTGACTGCACTCAAAGTGTAGTCCCCGGCCAGCAGCATCAGCATCCCCTGGAACTTGTTAGAAAGGCAAATTCTCAGACCTCATCCCTGACCTAGAGAAGCAGAAACCCTTGGGGCTGGGGCCCAGCTATCTCTGTTTTAAATTTCAAAGCATCCTCCTCCAGACGATTCCAGTGCATGCTCCAGTTTGAGAACCATAGAGCTAAAGGACTTTGACTGAAGGCTCCAGTAGTGGATACACACAGACCGGGCAGTCCCAGCCCTCCTTCCTGCATCCTTACTTCTGTGGGAATTCAGCATTCTCATCCTTAAAATAGAAACACATCCTGGCTGGTTAGCTCAGTTGGTTAGAGTGCAGTCTTGTAACACCGAAGGTTAAGGATCCGGATCCTCGTACCAGCCAGTTGCCAAAAAAGAGAATAGAAACTCCAAACATTTCCTGGCTATGACCTAGGGTAGGTCATATTACCTCTCTGGAAATCAGATTCCTCACTGGTCAAACGAAAATAAGTTAACACATATAAAAGAGGATTCAATGAGATAACGTGTGAAAAGAACTTGGAGCTCTTTGGCGCACACGGCACTCAGTATGAGTTAGCTTAGTGAATTACACAATGGCTGTGCACATAATATTTCTATAATATTCTTGGTTGGGGCCTCCCTACAAGCCTGAAAGATGTGAGAGAGAGAAAACAATGCCAAAATGTAGGACTTAGCCCAGAATCGGTATGGGTGTTTCCCTGAGTTCACAGCCTTCCAGCTCGTAGTTACCTTCCTGCCTCATTGTTATCGCCAGCTGCCTGTTTGTCCGGGTAACACATGGAGCTCAGCCCAGACTGGAGACCTGGGGCCCACCCATTCACCACCCACTTCCTGAGAGCCTCAGGGTAAACACGGGCCTGGATCGGCTGACATGAGGGACTGCCATGTGCACAAAGCACAAAGAAGGACAAATGGCTACACCCACACGAAACAAAAGCTCAAGTTCATTTGTAACCTAAGAAATGCAATTTTAAATAAAATTTGTGGTTCTCAAACTGGAGCGTACATCAGGATCATCTGGAGAATGCTTTAAACAGGTTAAGCTTTTCCTCAATCAGACTGGCAGAGATGAAAAGTAAGGGCTGGAGGGCCGGCCCGGTGGCGCACTGGATAGTGCGCCGCTTGGGAAGCGCGGCGGCGTTCCCGCCCGAGGGTTCGGATCCCACATACGGACCGGTTCCCGCTCACTGGCTGAGCAAGGCGCGGGAGCAACACCGAGGGTTGCGATCCCGTTGCTGGTCCCCGGTCCGGTACGGGGGCAACACTGAGGGTTGCAATCCGTTGCCAGACACGGAAAAAGACAAAAGACAAAAAAAAAACAAAAAAAAACAAAAGTAAGGGCTGGAGCGTGGCTGCGCACTGAGGATGTAAGCACAGACCCGCCGAGCCGTCGCAGCAGAGGCTCATCCGTCCAGCACCCTAACAAGGGCGCACTCCCAAATCCAGCCGTTCCACTTCTAGGGCTTTCTCCTAAGGAACAGAGTGAGGTCTAATGGCATGGGGAAAAATACTGAACATGCACTGTAATGCTTACAAAATAGTACGTGCATGCATTATAAATCCCTATTCCATTTAAAAAGTGTGTGTGTGTGTGTGTGTGGGTGGGTGTGTTTGTGTGAACTGTAGATGAATAAAAAATATTAAGTGTTTGTCAACAGGGGGTGGTGTTTCCTCAAGTGATTTTTATTTTCTTTTTTCTTACTTGTATTTAACCTTTCTGATC